ATAACCATCTATATATAAGTATGCTATTGCAAGCTGAAATGGGTTTTCAAAATGATGGTGTTGTTGCACGAGTTTTGTCAACACCTGTAACCGCTTCTAAAATTGCTCAAATCAGTTTGAAGTCGGTTCAAGCCGTTTTTAACAAAGTTTGGAGTTGGTTTGAGCGAGCGAATTGACCCATAAACAATGAGAGGATCGCATGACAACAAACCAACCATTCAAATCGCACCAAGTAGACTAACTCGATCAGTGGGATTCGATTGACGCAAGTGGACAATGAAGACCTTGGAGCAGCACCATATAAGCCCAGTCACACCGCAGACTGGCGCCCACAGTTCAGTCTTGCCACGAAACAGCTGCAAGCAGCAACACCATAAAGGCGTAATGTTTTCAGTAATAATGGGGAATCCGCTATTCGGCACTTCACCTTCGGGGGGTACAGTAATTAGGATCCATACTGGACATTTTTTCTTGACAAATCCAGAGTGCATTCTGTGTACAGCATGCACTAGGCCGATCGAAATGTTTCAGGCTGACTAGTGATATGACTGGCAAGGTATCAGTGATGTATTCATTTACTTATTCGGAGTTTTTGTTCATATATTTGTCCATTCTCTGCAAATTTTACATTATCTCTTTATCTTAGCTATAGGCTTCTTAGATAAACTGTTAACAGATCCCCGAATCGTGACAGTAAAATTCGATATCTTTGCTTCCCCGATTGTTTAGTTCATGCTCGTACTAACTTCCCTTCTATATTTAATGAGGGTTTTGAGTTGAACCAAAGGCGTAGTACGTGCTTGTTGTGACCTTAGTTCATGAAAACTAATATTTAGCGAAGTTCCTCAAACTGTGGAAATAGTTCTTCGACAAAAGAGCAGCGCTTTTTATTATTTGAACGTCATGCGAACTAACACACCCGGGTTTGCTTATTTTTCTCGTGTTCCATCCTTTTGGCCACATATCAGGCTCTTTCGAGAATCCATAACATAGCCCTGTACAGTTCGTATCCTCATAATAAAGTTCTATAATAATTCAAAGGGGAACGATATCTTCAATACCAGAATGATGTTTCCCAAATGAATATCTTTTTTCTTCGTTCTAAATCGGCTACTGAGTCTCTACTCTGATTGGATCTAAAAATGCCTCACGTAGCGAGATACAAACCAATCGTTTTGAGGGGCCGCAGAGGGGAGTTATTTATCTACCGTTTAGAATTGATCGTAAAGCTCTTTTGCTCTAGCCACAGGTTCGCTGTTATTTCACTTCATTTCATTTTTAATTCGTTTTATTTTATTCGCAGTGATGCAATTTTCAGGAAGGGAGAAGCGGTCAGTCAAAGGGCTATCATACAACACACAATGGGTAAAGTCAGACGGAGGTGGTGGGATACGGACACATTCCCGGGTTGATAATTTGATGATGTTACCACTGGGCCACCACTGATTGGTTCATCATCTTATGATTTGATAATGTTTAATACACCAAAAAGTTCCAAGTTTTAGTTCGCCACTTATCACCATGGTGTAGATTCACTTCGACTCTGAACAACTTCGATTTACTCAGGAACAAAAGCACACCATACACTTACAATTTAGGTCATGCTCCGAAAGCAGTGTTTCCAACTATCTTTCTTTCACAATTATTGTTTCCTTCGCTATGCGGTTATTTGAACTCCATCTCACTGTGCACAGCCCTTCAACTCAGATCGAACGTTCGAACAAGGATGTGGTAAGCGAAGAAGAGGAGAATGTGGCTCATTCCACGGACGACAATGTTCGTCCTCAGACCCCTCTGC